CAAAGCACAGGGACCATGGTTCAATCCCCCAGCACCACATACCAGCCAGCCCCGCCCCCTGGTGGGCTGAGCTGGCCACACACACAATAAATAAATAAAATTAAAAAAAAATGGTTTTAAATTTGAAAAGAATACCAGCAATCATTTATAAAAAATTAATACATGATGGGAGTAAATTTATTTGGCTGGAATATTGAAATAGTGGTAACTTGCTGAAGTTCATAGTGACAACTTGACTGAAGTTGTTAAGTATGTGTTCTAAAATTATAAGGATAACTACTTTAAAGAAAACACTGGAAAGATTAAAAGTGGTTACAGTAAGGGCATGTGGAAATGTGATTAAAAAGAAGTCTCTAACTTTAAAAAGGCTTGAAATCATGGAAAAGCCAGCATTTTAAAGATATCAGTTCTTTCCATTTTGACAAGTAGATTTGATGAAATTTCAATTCAAATTAGTTTTTCTTTCAGAATTTGACAATTTGATTCCTAAATCTCTTTGAAAACAAAAGCTAGCATTAGCAAGATGTTTCACAAGAGAAGAGGAAAAGGAGATGCTAAGAGAAAAAATTTACTATCAGCTTAGGTAGTAATAAAAGTATGGTATTGAGAAAGAGAAAAACTGATGCAGTAGAATGGAAAGATCAAAAGAAACCTGTACTTGTATGAAAACTTGGAATTCTCAGCTCATATAATCACGGATGAGTGGGAAGATATTGAGCATGATGGTTAATTTTACATGTCAGTTTAGCTAAGGGATGCCCAGGTAGTAAAACATTGTTTGAGGTTGTATCTCTGCCTGTGTTTCCCTAAGAGATTAACACTGGTGTGTGTGTGTGTGTGTGTGTGTGTGTGTGTGTGTGTGTGTGTGAGAGAGAGAGAGAGAGAGAGAGAGAGAGAGAGAGAGAGAGAGAGATGCTGGGGATTGAATCCAGGGCCTCAGGCAAACCTGTAAGAGATGAACACTAATGGGTAGGCTGGAGTAAAGAAGCAAAATCTACCCTAACCAGTAGATAGCCATCATCCAATGCACTGAAAGCCCAGGTAATACAAAAAGATGTAGCCTGGTGTGGTGGCACACACCTATAATCCCAGCACTCAGAAGGCTGAAGCAGGAGGATTACTGCAAATTTGAGGCTTTGCTGGGCTGCATTCTGAATTAAAAGCCAGCCTGAACTACATAGTGAGATCCTATCTCAAAAACAAGACAAAATTCTACACATTTATAGGAAATTTGGAAATTGGTCAGCAGGTAAAAAGTCATATAAAAGGAAAATACGAATAGCCAATAAAACAAGATGCATATAAAACTTAAGGTCAAAATGAAATTTCTACTTCCTAATCATTAGATTGGGAGGAAATTTTGTCAAGAAAATAAATGATATTTTATATATTGTTGGTTGTGTAAAAATAATAGTAACTTTAGAAAAAATCGTGTAAGTCAGAATATGCACGCCTTCATATTCCATGATTTACTCAGTGTACACATTGATGAGACAGGTAAATGAATATATATCTAAATAGTGACATACTTCATAGCAGTAAAAAGGAACTATAAACAGCTACATGCAGGCGTTCAACTTAGGAATGTGTAATTTAATGAAAAAATAAGCCACTGAAGGATACACTCAAAATGAAACACCATTTTTATAAGCCACAAGATAAAACCACCCCCTCTCTCTACTATCCATCATCATCACTGCCACCATCACTACCACCATCATTATCATCATCATATTTGGGGATATTGGAATGAAAATAGAGAATCCAGCCTAATGTTCTCTGGCCAAGGGTAGAGGCTGAGGTAGGGAGGCAGAGGGTGGGCTTGGGGAAAAGCTCAAAACTGGAAATATTCCATTTCTAATTTGCATAGTAGGAACACAAGTTTTACTTTTTTATTTTTCTTATTTCATAATTTAAATTTCTTTATAGTATTGCTTTAATGCATATGTTATATAATTAAAAGTAAAATTATAGTACGTGCTATTTCCAAGATGGGCCAAATGAATGCTGATAACAGGGAATTTATAATAATATTTTTAACAGTATCAATTTCAAACTTACTGTATAACTACTTTATTGACTTTAGATATCAGCTGTTTTTTTCATTTAACAATATGTAGCTTTATTACTCTAAAATGTTGGATTTTCAGTTGTTATGAACATTCCATAGTAGAAAACACAAAGCCAATTTTGTTCCAAAGAAAATGTTCTTGAAAAAATGGTCACTAAGGAAATTGTAAAAAGGCAGCATGCTATACTGTGTCAAAATTGGGCTGTTTTCAAATACATTATAGAAATTCTAGCTTTCAAATAGGAAATGTAATAAGGATTTCATTTACCAGGTGTGATCATAAAACAATAAAAGTAGCTTTCTTATGTTGCTCATAAACTGAGATGGAAGATAATTTCAAGCCCAGGAGACAATCCAAAAATTGTGTTGAGCAGTGGCCACATGTTAGAATAAGAATTTTAATTCTCAAAGCCTGTATTTTGAGAAAACAGCATTTATTTGAATAGGTGGATAAGTTCTGAAATACCTAAATATCATTTTCTACAATGCATATGCATTACAAGTGTCTTCTATTTTCTGAACTTACTTTTAATAAATACTAGAAAATGTTCTGTTAGCTTATTTTTTTCTTCTCCACGCCAACATTAATTGTATATATTCCCTAACTAGTTTGCGTTAGATGGAGCAAATTTCAATTTTTCTTTGCAAAAGCAAAGAACTTTATTGTAATGTAATTGTCATACAATACAGTGAACACATTTAAAGTGTGAAACTTGATGAGTTTTGACGTATTTACCCATGAATTCATTATCATATTCAAAATAATGCTCATATAAATCCCTCTAAAAAGTAGGACCCCCCCCACTCAATTAATCTGGTTGGGCCTATTTATTTTATTGATACTCTTGAATGACACAATGATTGTACCTTTCAAAAGTCATTGGCTCATTGACTTTGTATTTTTCATATTTTGAGTTTTGATGAGTTACTATTTCTTCTTTCTTACTAATTTGGGTTTAATGTTTTTGCTTTTCCTCTCGTGGTCCTAAAATAGATCATAAGGCCTTTGATCTGAGATCCTTTTTTCTGTGTGAGGGATTTCATGGTATAAAATTTTCCAAGTACTACTTGTAGCATCGTACAAATTTTGGTATCCCTTAACCAAATTTTTCATCCACTTCACAATGGTAAATACTTTTGGTATTTCTCTTTCACTTTTTAGAATTGTGTTATTTAATTTCCAAATATGTAGAATTTTCCAAACATCCTTTATTGTTAGTTTCTAACTTACTCAGAGTAAATAGAGGTTGTATGTTGTATTTCTGGAATCTTTTTAAATTTATGAAGTCTTCCTTGGCAACACAGAATATAGTCTCTCGTTAAATGTTCTTTGTGCAGTGAAAGAATGTGTATTCTGCTGTTGTTCTGAGGTATTATGTAAATATTAATGAGTTGGTTGATATTGGAGTTCAAGTTTTTGGTGTTTTTCCATGTCTTGTTTAGATGCTCTGTTGGTTATTGAGAAAAGAAATTATAATTGTGAATGTTTATTTCTCCTTAGAGTTTTATCTGTTTTAACTTCTTGTATTTTGATGCTTTAGGTACATAAATATTTAGGATTATTACATCCTCTTGATTAATTGATCTTGTATCATTATGACATGAGCTTCTTTTCCTTAGGAATATTCTTCTGAAATGCACTTTATTTGACATTAATAGGGTGACTCTGGCTTGCTTTTGTTTAGTATTTGCATGACATTTTTCATCCTCATAATTTTATCCTGTTTCTCTGTGGGTAAGTGCATTTGTTATAGTCAGGATATGGTCAGATTAACTTACACATAATAGTGTACACCCTCTATCATGTAACATTCCTATATTCATAATATGTGGTGATTTTTTGCCTTATAAGTGCAGTGTTGAAATCATTTACATTTAATAGGACTTAGTCACATTTAAACTGTTGCCTTACTCTTTGCTTTATATTTGTTCCATCTTTTTGTCATTTGTCTTTTCTGTATTTCTACCTTTTCTTGGATAACTGAGTATTTTTATGAAAGTGGTTATTTTATTGGATAATCCTTTTATTATTTTTGTTTGATTTAGAATTTATGGTATGTAAGTTGAACATATCAGACTACCTTCTACTTTTACATATGTTATAAATTTTGTATTACATTTTTGTTGTTTAACCTCTTAAAGGAATTTCATAAGATAAATCATATTTACACCCATAGCAACCATTGGATTCTTATTCTTTGATGTAGCTCCATATTTCCATCAAGTGTCATTCTCTTCTTCCTGAAAAACTTCAACACTTTTTGTAGTGTAATTTTCTTTGGATTTTGAATTTTGGATTTTGTGTGTTTGAAAAAATGTTTCATCTTTCTTTTCTTTTTTTAAAAAAAATATTTATTTGGTACAGGATCTTGCTATGCAGCTCAGACTCTAGTGATCCTCCTGTCTCAGTCTCCCCAGCACTGGGATTACAGGCATGCACCACCATGACTTGTTTCAGTGGCCGGCATGGCGTGTGATACCAAGGATTGAGCCTGTGTCTTTACACTTGCCCGGCAGGTGCTTAGACCGCTGAGCTATCTCCCCAGCCTAGGAGCATTATTTTTAAAAATAGTTTTTCTGTTCCTTGTCCTATTCTTTATTGGTGACTTCTACTAATTGCCTATTCATTCATTTATTGCAGTTTAGTTTTCACTGTAAATTGGGTTTTTTAGTCATTTTTTCTCCTTGTGTTTGATTTGCATAGTTTTTATTGCTTCAAGTTTACTACTTTTTTCTGAAATGCTTTTATATTTTTAAGCTGACATATAAAATGTACATATTTATTGAGTACCATGTGCTGTTTCAGTATACATACAATGTTGTGTAGTGTTTAAATCAGGATAAGTATACCTTTCGCCTCAAACATTTGTCATTTCTTTGTTATTAAAAACACCCCAAATCATTTCTTCCAGCTTTTTTTTTTTTTTTTTTAAATATTGACCACTTCACAAATTTGTATGTCTCCTTCAGCAGGGGCCATGCTAATCTTCTCTGTATCATTCCAATTTTAGTGTATGTGTTGCCGAAGCGAGTACTTTCCTGGCTTTTTTTTTTTTTTTTTTGTGTGTATTTGGTTGTTACAGGGTCTTGCTGTGCAGCTTGGACTCATAGTGATCCTTCTGTTTTGCAGTCTCCCCAGCGCTGGGATTACAGGCATGCACCTCTATGCCTGGGGTTGGGGCTGGTATGGCATGTGATGCTGGGGATGGAACCGCAGTCCCTGAGTTGGCCTAAGCTTACCTAAGCTTGTTTAAGCTTGCCTAAGCAGGCGCTTTAGTCCACTGAACTATCAGGGTGGCCCTCATCTTTTTTTTTTTTTTTTTTTCCGGAACCGGGGATTGAACTCAGGGCCTTGCGCTTGCCAGGGAAGCGCTTATTCCACTGAGCCATCTCCCCGGCCCCCCCCTTTTTTTTAATTTGGATTTTTTTTTTTTGACAAATTCAGCCTTTATTTTTTTTAATGGAAACATAAAATTACATAAAATAGTAACAGTTTATGTACTGTATATTGTTATCCTTAAAGTAGTTACACAGTGCAAGACAAACCAAAAAATATTCTTACAAAAAAGAGGAAGGTAATATAACACTTTCTTTTCAGTGATCTTGGATAAACTAGTAGTATAAATGAAACAAATTTGCATATATTATATTAAAATATGCTTGAAATAATGACATACAATTTGTTTTTTTTTTCCTACAGTTTTATTGATAAACATATAGCAATGAGACAGTTTCAAATCAAATCGGAAGTACAGTTTCAACAAATAATACACTGCATATATTCTTCTTAGTGGT